TCTGTTACAAACGGAATACTATTTATTAAGTCTTAAACTAACATGGACACTAAACGCCATAAGAACTAGTGAGGTATAAGGAATAAAATAACATAAACAACGCTTTAAATGCAGGGAAATCCGGTATTGTTTCAATACTTCATAACAAAAGTTTGTTGCACACTGGGCTTTAATTTTCCCTTTAGTAGAAGCCGTTTCGTTAATTTCGTGATTTCTGTTGTGAAGAGATTTTTCGAACACCTGATTATGGAAAGTGGGGCTAAAAGATTGTTAACATATCAGTTTAACATACAGATTTTGAAGAAAGGTAACTCATGCCATCAGCGATTTGCCAAGCAACCTTCATCAGCTGTTGTGACGTCAGACTTGTTTGTGGTTTGATATCCGGGTCTTTGTAATAAGTGTCGTTTAATCCACGGCTCTTTCTCAGATATCCCAGCAAGTCTCCATAAGGTACATACTCAATTATCACCATTAGAGGCTCTGGAAAAGTATGGACATTCATAAAATAACTGTGAAATACTTGGACTTATTTCCTTTATACTTGAAATAGCCTAGAAGAAGATACATTTAATTGTTTCGGTAAACATGCTAGATTCTTTGTGCATGGAACTTATTAGCAACAAACTCTGTTAATTGTATACTCTACGAAAAAATCACATTTGTAATGTAAGAATTTGTCTATTCTTAAATCTAATGAACGGCCTTCTATGACAGGACATACCATCAATGTTACATTTCTCACGTGTTCAATTCGCAACTTTTAAACAGTTTACCAGTTTCTGTGACACATCCCAGTAGTTTAATGACGTGAGGATGTGGTTTGAGTTGNGTAACGTTATATCCTGTGGCAACATATTTCTAATGTACAATATGAACGTGAGCGTTTCGTCAACAAGCCTTGTAAATTACTGAGACCACAGCCATAATAAATATAAAACAGACCTAGCAAAAGCAAACAAACAAACAAAATTGTTCAAAGACAACAATTTTCAAAAGGACTTTAGAAAAAAAATGGATGACTCCTCTGCAACGAAATTTGATTTGATGAAGTGCTGAACGCCAAATAAAACCATTCAGAAACCGGCTTCTGTGCAGGTTGAGAGTTGCTCAGCAAAACCATTCGTGACCTGAAGAAATAGTTCAGGAGCTCTGACAGTCCTAACAGAACAAAGCCTTACTTTTAAGCATTTTAACAGCAACTGTCGTCTTTCCAGGCCTGCCTCGAAGCCCTGTTGCCGTTGCCTTGGCAACCTGACCAAAAGCACCTTTACCAATTATCTTTTCTATAGTCACGTGTTGCTTTTCAACTTCCCAAGAACGTGTTGTTGGATGAAGAGGCGCGTAATCAGCACTTTGAGCAACACGTTGTGTTTGGTCATTGACTGTAGTTGCTTCTGTTAGGTCCATGTATTCTGAGCGAGGCTGGGTAGAGTTACTCGGAATAGAACTACTTGTTTGAAGATCGTCC